AACTCTTGTAACAGTACCCGAGTAACAATATTTTGGTTCAGGGTCAGTTCAGGAGACCATTTGGTGCTGGGATGGTTCTATGTTCAGTTCATAAACGTTGAAGGTTCAATAACCGATGAACTGTTCAAGTACCGATCACCTAATAAAAATGTTTGGTTCTCAGTGGGTTCAGAAGAGAAATAATGTGCTGGTATGGTTCTATGTTTAGTTCATGAACGTTGGCGGTTCAATAACCGATCAGCTGTTCAAGTACCGATCACCCAATAAAAATGTTTGGTTCATAGTGGGTTCAGAAGACCAAATAGGTGCTAATATGTACATTAAATAATGTATAAGCAAAGCTCAAAATAACAAAAAAAAAAAACTACAAGGTAAGATTGGAAAAGTCCAAATTTACTACAGGTAAATGTACTACGCGCAAATGTCACTCATATTAATATATTATCATATTTGTCATTTTATCATAATATTATTATGTTACGCTACGTCACATGCAGCCCACTGAACGATCTGTCAAAAAGTTCCGATTATGTTGTTTTTATCATAAAGATGATAGTAAAACCGTCGTCGCGCGTCGGTCGTATTTGAAAATTGAAATACGAGTGGTTGTGCGTACGAGCAAGGGTACGAAACTCCGTGCGTTGACCGAACCAGGCGATTGCGGCCTTGAACACGTGACGCGGTCCCGCGCAAAATCTGTTTGAATTCAAACAGCCTTTGCGCGGAAGCCGCGCCGTGGCATCTCTATCAAACCGCCAACCGTCGGCCGGCCGTCCGGCGAACCGGATTGTCAAGGCGCGCTCTCTCGTCATCTGGACACCGATACACACGGACCTAGACACGCATCCCCGCACAACTCGATTACCGTTTGTTTTGAATAACATATTGAATGTACTCTGTTTGTTTTTTCTTCTTTTGCACAATAAAAGTTAGTCACATCAGTGCGTCTGTTCCGTTGTAAGTTTGTTTCGTTCGTTTGTTTGTTCGTCATTTCGGTCTCATACCGACAGTTCCACCGTCGGTCATCACCACCACACCATCACACTCCGCGGCACTCCACAAGTCCGCGTCACACGGTCTTCAGGAGGGCGTGGCATACGTGAAAACCCGTATCCCGCCTTAGTGCCGACCCCGCGTCCCGTATCCCGCCATAGTCTTGGAACCAATTTTATAATATACGGGTCTAACATCATGTTGGTGCGGGAACCAATTCCATGTTTTTTCGTAGGTTCAGACTTCATATCATAGGGAACCAATACCCCAATCAGCTGATCGAGTTTCGCTTCTATACTGTTCTATGGTACGAGTGTGTGACATATTGTATAATTTGTGTTGTGTTAAAAGTTAAAAGTACATAACCTATAATTTTTAAACATTACGATATTCAACGAGCATAAGCTATTTACCGATTTACATTGTACATTTCGACGAGCACAAGCTGTTAAACGTTATACCACAACGGTATAATATAATAAGTAGATACCTATAACTGCAATTTTTGTTTAAGAAGTTCAGAAATGTAAGTATTTGTTTATACCTATTTCATATTTAAGACTTAGTTAAATACTTAGTATTTTAGTTATTTCAATTGTTATTTGTGTTACTATACAATAAATAGGTACACAACAAATTATAATAATTAGGTACACGATTGTTTCAATCTACATAATATAGGTGTTTCGTTGAATGCTTAAGTGGCATTTTCTTGATGCTGATTGTTTAAACCGACAGGGATTGAAATTATATAAATATATTGAAATACATGCGTATATGATCTTACACTCATCAATGTATTAATTGATTTTACTTCAAGTTTAAACATTATTTAATGGTTAATAGTAGGTAACTATAATAGGTATACCTAATAATCGTATGTGTATATTTTGTAGATACATTGTTATATTAATAACAAACAGTATAGTATTGGCTTATCTCTAGGTATTAGGTATTTTGAAATGAAGTAATTTAAAATGAGATAGCTAAATAAACTTAAATCATCAGTTAATTATAGTGATTTTTTGTTCAATGCTAGTACTTATAGGCACTTATCAGTAATAATAAGCTTCAAAAAATAGATTGTCTTATTGCTACTTTAATATTAATTAACTGTATTATAAAATCCTTACTAAATCTACCTATAAAAACTAGCACCGCATTAAATTATTTAACCTTTAGATATTTATAATTTATAGGTTTTAGTTGATTTTTTTAAACATAAAAATTTACCTACCTAATTTCTTTTCCTTTTTTTAATTTGATGTAGTAATTGAATAATTTAACTATACAACTATCTAATAAAAAAAAAACATTTCGTATTGATGTGAATACTTTGAATAATAAATTGATTGTCTACCATAATTGCATTGACGCATAATTTTTTATTTGTACTATAAACAATAAATAAGTTATTATTGTTTCAATCTAATCATAATATTATATCATTAAAACTAAAATTATTTTATATTTTAATTTGTATAGAAAATAAATTATGGACAATGTTATTGGGAAAAAAAAAAATTTGCATTAAGTAAATCATCTCGTTATCGACTGCGAAAAAAGGCTCAAAAAGTAGCTTCAATATTAGTTTATTCATCAAGTTCTGATGAACAATCAAATAATTCAAATTCATGTATTAGTTTATAATTGTCCAATGAAATTAATCAATAAAAAGAAGCTTATCTACTTCTGCTGAAAATTTAACGTCTGATGATTCAATACATTTTAATAATATCAACAATACAATAGATGAATCAAGAAATATTCCTGTAGAAATTGATGAAAGCCCAAACTTAAGATTAGTTTTAGCACAATGGGCTTTACACCATAATATAACCCATACTGCAGTTAATGATTTACTAAAAAATTTAAAAAAATTTCCGTTGTTTTCTGATTTACAATCAGATGCAAGGACATTATTAAAAACTAGTTCTACTGCTATAGTAAAAACCATTGGGGGCGGTGTTTATCATTATTTTGGTATTAAAAGAGAAGTAGAATTCTTAGTTGATTCTGGACTTAATTTTCCATCAGAACTTTTATTAGTAGCAGGTATTGATGGTCTTCCTAATAACATCAAATCCTCCAAGCCACTTATGGCCAATACTTGGTTATTTTTCAAATATTAATTCTGTTAGGCCATCTGTTTTTATAATTGGGGTTTTCTATGGAAAAACAAAACCAGAAAATAGCAATGAATATTTAAGAGATTTTGTTGATGAATTAAAAAATTTATGTGAAGTTCAAAATATTATAAGAGGACAACGTATATCAATTAAATTACATGCGTCAACATGTGATGCACCTGCAAAGTCGTTTGTTCTAAGTTGTAAAGGACATACAGGAAAAAATTCTTGTGTTAGATGTACATGCGATGGTCAATGGTTAGATGAAAGGGCATGTTTTCCTAATTTAGATGCTACATTAAGAACACACGATAATTTTAGATTGTACAATTACAAACATTTTCACATACATAATACCATTTTTTCAGAAATACCACATTTTAATTTGATATCATCCATTCCATATGATTACATGCATTTAGTTCTAATAGGTGCAACTAAAAACTTCTCTTCCTTCAAATACAATACAGGCTCTAGATCAAAAACTTATTTTACTTTCGCAATACATACCTGTTGATTTTCAAAGAACTCCTAACGCAAATTCTAGATATCATCCTTTTGGTGATGTTAATCGTTGGAAAGCTACCGAGTTGCGTCAATGTCTATTGTATACCGGTTTTGTGATATTTCAAGATATATTAAGTAGTCAGATATATACACATTTTAAAGAGTTGTCTATAGCCTTAAGAATTTTATTAACTGTGAACATAAATGAAGAATATATTGCTTATGCTAGTAACTTAATAAGGCATTTTGTTGAATCATTTAAAGATATTTATGGTACATCATCCATATCTCATAATATTCATGCATTAATTCACTTGCCCGAAGATTATAAAAATATGGATCCCTAGAAAATATTTCTGCATTTCCATTTGAAAGTGTTTATTTATTTATATTTACGGGTCTAGCCCTTTTGAAAAACAAAGTTTGATATATACAGATTTACAACTAATAAGATATACATAGGTATGGTATAAGCATTAACAGAGGCGGGAGTCGTCAACATTGGCAAGAGACATAATTCTTGTGATAGGTTCGTTCGCTAAATAATTGGAGGTGTAAGAAGGAACGTAGAAAGCAGCATTATTTCGAGAATTACGTTGAGGTACTCTAAAATTAATTAGGCTTAAAAGGTCAGGCGAATCTATGTTACCTGATATCAATCCATTTAGAAACTTAAACCCTAGAGTAATTATCCGATTAGAAAGGGTGTCAATATTGAGGAATTCGGAAACAGGGACGTAATCGTGAGGCTGATGATGTATATTTAGAATAAACCCAGCGCAACTAAGGAATTTTCTTTGTACCATTTCAAGTTGTCGAGAGTGGCCTGCAGTATGTGGATTCCAAAGAACAGCACCATACTCTAAAATTGGACGGACAAGTGAACAAAAAAGAATTTTTAAAGATAGTCCTAGCTTAAAGTCGTGAGCCAATCTCTTTAAGAACCCAAGCATTTTGTAAGCTTTACAGCATATCATAGTGATATGCGGTCCCGGATCAAGAGAACTGTTGAACTTAAAACCTAAGTCAACTATCATTTCAACACGGGAGATTACCGAATTATTTAGACTGTAGGACCAATTAATTACAACATGTTTTCTAGTGAATGACATAATATGACACTTATCAAGATTCAAAGTTAAGCCTAGTTCTTGAGACCATTTGTAAAAATTGTTTAAATCAGCTTGAAGTATAAGGCAATCATCAGGAGAATTTATTTGCATAATTAGCTTCATATCATCAGCAAAACAAAGTAGTTTACAATGATTTAAAACTCTTGTGCAGCCTATAAAAAAAAAAAATAGGTCTGGTGCGAAACCTCTTCAACAATTGATTCGTCGTTATGAAGAACATCGGACCTATGCTGTAAATATGATTAATGATCAAAAAGTTAAACTTGGACCTATAAATACAATATGTCAAAATAGAAATCGTCCATTAATATTTGGTATTGGCAGTCCACAATTTTCTGGGTGGAGAACAGAGAACTTTGTTATAAAAATTAACAAATCTGATTGTTGTGTAAAAACAAATAATGGAAGCATATTATTGATTGAAAATATAGCTACTTGTGAAACATCTAAAAGAATCATGGTGATTGGTAGATGTTATGAACAACAAGAACCATTATTTCTACAACCATGTAATTCAACTTTATTTGGGATTTACAGAGTATCTAAATTAGGTGCTCTTCGAGCATTTTATATTGATGATATTAAAGAAAAACTTGTTCGTTTACCTTTAAATGAAAATATTGGATTGATGGTAATAATTCCATTCATTCACAATGATGATTAATATCCATATTAATATTTATCTATTGGTTAGACATTAATTGAATAACCATAATATATTAAGTGTGTATTTATTTAAATAAATCAATTAATATAGATCATTTTTAGGTCTTGGATTGTTGTGTTATTTGTTGACGCTAATGTTATTCAACATGTGCCTAAAATATGGCTTAAAAAAGTTCAAGATAAGAAGACAGCTGTATCTCAAAATAAACAATTATGTTGGTTCCCCTTTACTAAAGCCGATTTTCCAAATACAAAAGTGCTTTTCAAAACCGACCAAATACATAAAATGATATGTAAATGTTATGTTCCTAATAATACCGATGGCACATGGATTAAATGTAAACAGATTGCTGGTCCTTTTGGTGGGTATAATACTTTGTATATCTATAATGTTTTATGTTGAATTATTTTATTTTATTCATACATTATAATATCTTAACTGTTTAAATATATTATGTTATAAATATATAGTGAAATGCATTCTAGAATGATTGCAAATGCATGGTCTGATGAAAGCCAGAGCTGTGATGCATCAAAAGATTCAACTAGTGATGATAACAATACCTACTGTTGAAAATGGAAGAAGTATTCACCATAAAAAGAAGCCAAAATGTTATTCACCACCCACATTTAAACTAAAAGCAAAGCCAGTTAAAACTTTTACTGATCACGATGAACCACCAATACTTATAAAAACACCCAGCCCGCCCAGTACACCATTAGCTGATCATAGCAATACAAAAAAGGTTAAACATCACGCAAAATATGTAAAATCAGGTACCTATATAAGTATATATATTATTATAATTAAATATTTTGTTTTGTTAAAACTATGATCATATAGATATTGTTTTCATATTTAATGTAGTTACCATTGTAATATACTGGTAGCCACCAGCTACTATTATATTAACAGTTGCAGGCAGCTAGACCTTTTATTGTGAAGATGAGGTAGTCGTTGAATAATAATAACACAAATGCCAAAATTATATTGTTGTTTATTAAGTTCCAACTATCACAATGGTGCTAAGTCCAAAAATGACAATCGTTATACGGAGCTGCGTGAAGGCTTGCAGTAGTCCTGAATAGACACGTCTGAATACAGACCGTTTCGGGGTCCCTCTTTTAGTCCGGTCCCCGCTCCCCTTGCCTAGTGATATCGTATCTTGGCTCTAACGGATGTGGCCTATGTGGCCATCGACCTAACCCACGCACTTGCGAAATTCCTAATCCATACTGCGTATTATTATGATGTACTGTCAGATAATCTGTGACTGTCAATTTCATTATAAATCATACTATTTTTTATATTGAAATTCTCTCATATAACGCTATCGCGTTTATCACATCCGCCTATTCGACATGATTGCAAAGTCATGCTAATCTACTGTGGTATTATTTTGAATATCGTTTCTCCTTGAGCCTTACATTTATTAATCGCAAATTTGTTTACGCGTTCGTTTTTGGCGTTATACTCCCTATGGTTTCTTTGATTAAGTACAACCAAAAAAAGGTTCACTAGTTTCTATTTGTTTCTATTTAATATATCTGACCATTACCTATCTACAGTATATTATGTTAAATATGTTTCCTGTCGAAATTTAAATGTTGCGTAGTAACTCGCTTACTACGCCATCAATGCAAATGAACCAAATATGTCATTAACCACATCAACCAACAATGATGAATTGGATGAAAAATTATTAAATAACATGATACATGATGAGAGTGCTTTAGGTATATTTTTTTAATAATGGAATACAACTGTAATCCATATTATATATATTAAATTATAATAATATGCAATTTTTTTAAAGGTATATTTTTAAATAAGAATGAACCCTCAAATGAAATCAATGATGTACACAATACAGAGGAAGAGTTGCAAATAAGAAATTATAATAACTATATACAAGGCTGAGGCGGACTGGCCAGGGGAGTTGGGGAGATTTATCTCCCTGGGCCGGGCCGGTGTAAATTGAATTATTATTTATTTATGTACGATTATTATTACATTAATTTTTTATGATAAATATACATACTGAGTACAGTATTGACATTTGACAGTGACAGCGTATATTGTATAATCATATTTTTGGAAAGCCCGTCGTTATTATTTTGTTATTAATTGTCTGTTATAATAAATCGATATCGTCTCAATTGTCGTTTGATAAGTGATAACTAGTGATGGGCGATTCTCGAAAGTGAATCGATCTAGATCGGGAAAAAAAGATCGATCTTTAAATGAATCGTTCGCAAAAGATCGATTTTTCAAAAGATCGATCCAAAAAAATCGGAAATTTTTTAATCACTAAATGCCGCGTGATACCTACTCTAGTTCTCCCTTGTCACGCTCGAGGTCATAACAATTAATATATAAAGGTTTTCGATAGTCCATACTCCATACTCCATACAATTAATGCCAGTGCGACTAGTGCGAGTACCAGGGGGGGGGGGGGCAACGGGGACATTTGCCCTGGGCGGTCAATTTTTGACACATTTAGGAGACGGCCAGGCGCCGGTGTATATTATATAATTAACCTTTTTTTTTTTTTTGGTAAGAATTTGTTTGAGTACCTATACTCGTACTTGTACTTTTTGCATTGCATCCCTATGATAGGCCAATTGCATAGGCTTGCGCAGACTTAAATTTCTGGTCGAGGCTAGACAAATTATAGTTCCCTAATATTTGGACAGCGCCCCTATTTTTTTGTTTGTTTTAACACACCAACATAGATGTTGATGTATTAACCTATTAATGTCTATAGTACTATAGTTGTTGTATTTGTATAAAGCTAAAATGTTTTTTTTTTAAATTAATAAAATGTATGTAGTGGTTGCAGGGTTAGGTGGGTACACACAAATATTTTTGATTTTTTTATACTTTCACGACAAACAAAATTTTCATGATCTCCACGAAGGCACGAACATACATAATATTATTATAACACATGCATTATAATAATAATATTATATATTCATTTTTTTCTTTTTTTGGGAAGAGAGGGCTACAAATATTTTTAACCCAGGGCGCAAAAAGAGGAAATACGGCCCTGGCGAGTACTCTTGATTTCGGAGCGCGTATACAGTATACACTGGAAAGTGTTGTACCTAGGTCCTTAATAATAATATAAAAATGTTTTAGGTCTGTTGGCATACGCTCATTGTTCTCTTCAGAATTTTCCGAGGCTTTTTTTGACACCAATTCATTATGAAATGACCACAAATTATACGGTAAAGTGCGTACGAGACTGTCACCACTGTAAAAAAATCGAATCAAAAATGAATAATGAATCGATTCACATAAAAGATCGGATATGGGACAACATCCGTTGTCCAACGATTCGATTCGATATTCACAAAATGAATCGATTCACCTAAAAGATCGGATCAACGATTCGATTCGATTTTCACATAAATGAATCGATTCACATAAAAGATCGGACCATAGAGATCGATTCAAAAAATCGATTAATCGCATGAAAAAGATCGATCTTTTAAAAGATCGATTCGAATCGCCCATCACTAGTGATAACCCATTTCTTGCGAAAAATAAACATATAGCTTTGCTAAAAATAGATTAACGTTATGTTATTATCTGATATGATAATCCTAATCAAAACATGATTATATGAAAAGTTTTCCTTATGGCTTGTACCTTGTGTTTTTGCTTAAACTTTAGTAGTTAAAATAATTTAATAAAAATAAACATTTTCATTTTCAACTTGTGCTGATCGTTAATAATTTTAAAAGATGAGTGCTAAACCGAATCGTCGAGTTAAGGGGCGCAGAAAAAGTTCGGCTGAAACGGAATGCTGATTTACAAGCTGCCGCAAACAACCCAAAACAGTTGAGATTATGTTTTCCAATCACATCAAATAATCTTTTAGTACAATCGGTAAATATTATAATTTACACCTTTATTTATTTTTATTAAAACTATTTTATGCAATATGTACTGTACAATGTACATGTGTGAATTTGTACATAGTGTACATGGTGAATTTATAATTATTGATACCTGGGGGCTGTTGTTGCCTTCTTGGTTAAAAACATATACATTCAAAATAAATATGTATTTTTATCACCATAGTATAATAATATATATATTCAGGAAAATATATCTGCTCGGCTTGAAAACAGTGAAGATATAAATTGTTCTGCTTCCACCAGTTCCACCGTTGTTAAGGTTTGCCAAATTATCAAAATGTTTAATAAATTACTATTATTATTAACTATAGTTTTAAATTTTTTTAGGAAAATATATCTGCTCAGGTTGAAAACAGTGAAGATATAAACTGATCTGCTTCCACCAGTTCCACCGTTGTTAAGGTTTGCCAAATTATCAAAATGTTTAATAAATTACTATTATTATTAACTATAGTTTTAAATTTTTTTAGGAAAATATATCTGCTCAGGTTGAAAACAGTGAAGATATAAATTGTTCTGCTTCCACCAGTTCCACCGTTGTTAAGGTTTGCCCAATTATCATATATATTGCTATATTATGTTTCTGTTGCATCTGTGTGCATAATATTTATTTATTTGTTATAAGAAACAGGTTTGGGCCTAATAGTTAGACAGTACACCAGTACAGTGGTTTGTATTAACAATATACAGTATGTAAAAATAACATGTAATAAGAATAACAGTAACAACTAACAAATAAAATATATATTATTTCTTTGTGATGAAATTTGAATAGAATCAATGGAAACTAAGAAACTATATTATGAACTTCTTTATAATGTATTTTTTTTTTAATTTAACTATTTAGCTATTTATCATCACATTAGTGTGGTCTCTAAAATTTGCACGGGGCTGTGTCTATATGGTTTATGTTCAAAGGTATTATACTAACTATTGCATGATAATGCATTGCTATTTAAAATTGATATAAATGTGTGTTTGTAATTTTATTATAATTGCATGATTTTTTATTTTAATAATTTTTAAACTGAAAAGTAATTTTTCTATAAATCAAATACTTAATTCTTACTAATTTGCTTTTACTTAAATTAGGTTAACTTAAATGATTCAAAAACCTCAGAAGTTGCTATTGATATTATTGGTGAACAATGCTTTGAAAGTACTAACGCAAATTCTAATTTTAATTTAAATTATAATGCAACTGTAACTCAAAAGTTAGATTTTATTAAAAAACATCCAGTTCAACCTACCCACACCGGAAATATAAACTTTGATGTTAATAAAATGTACTATAGAATCGTTTCCGGGAAAAAAATTCATAGAATTTGGTTATCCGTTTTAGTCGAAGGCAATGATTTAAAGTCAATGTTTTGTTCAATTTGTATAGCATTTGGTTCTGGAATAAGTAATTTTTCAAGTAGCAGTGGCTGTACAAATTTAAAATCAATGTACTCAGCTATTGAACTACATGAAAAATCAATTATACATACCAATGCAGTAGAAAGCTATTTTTAAGCTTCTAAATAAATGTCCATGGAATATCTTATAAATAGAAATATGATGGTTGTTAAAAGGCAAGAAACAGAAAATAATATGCATGTGCTTAAAGAAGTTTTTGAAATTATCAAGTTCCTTGGTCGTCAAAATTTACCGTACAGGGGATCTGCTTCTAATGAAACAATATCAAACTTTGATGATATTTTAATAAATAAAGGTAATTTTCTGGAAATTTTTCAATTTGCATCCAAAAAAGATGCCATTTTGCATAAACATTTACGTCAAGCTATTAAAAATAGTAAACTAAGGAAGGAGAGGTTAGAGAAAAATAAAAATTTGAATTCAAAAGGGCAAGGTTCACTTGTTACATTTTTATCAAAAACAACTGTTGATAAAGTAATTTCAGGAATTTTAAAGGCTATAAGAAATAAAATTAAAAATGAACTTGGTGATCAAAACTTCAGTATACAAATGGATAGCACCCAGGATGTTGGTGTTATGGACCAAGCATCTATTTGTGTTCGCTACATCAATGATGGTGATATAAAAGAAAGACTTTTTGCAATTGTCCAAGTAAAGAGTTCTAAAGGTAAAGAACTTTATAAATTACTGAAAGATTGTTTTTTTGAACATGGCCTTAATTTTAGTAATATAATTGGTGAGTCATCTGATGGAGCCAATAACATGAGTGGTCAATTTTCTGGTCTTTTATAAAATCTCAAAATGAGAATAGCATCTTCATATGGTGTTACAGCCATATCTTAAATTTATGTATGGTTGATATATGTAAAAACATTGATTCAAAAACCTTGTTTGGTCTTTTAAACCGTTTGGCAACGTTTTTTGGTAGTTCTTATAAGAGAATGAATACCTGGACAAGTGAAAATACTAAAAACAGCAAAATTGGACAAGATAAGTTGAGAAAATTACATAAGGTAGCTGACTCTAATACAAGATGGTGGTCGAGACATAAGGCATTAGAATGGGTGTTCAAAGGAACAGATTGTTTATTTCCTACAGTTATAAGTGTGTTGCATATTATTTCAACTGATAGTTCATTTGATAATAATTCTACATCTGAAGCACTTTCATTACTAAAAAATTTATGTGAGTTCAAAGTTATATTAACTGCACATATTTTTTTGGACATTTTTAGTTATGTACGACCAACTTCCGATTACTTACAAACAAAACAGTTAGATTTTTTATCAGCTTGGAAAATGGTGGAAAACACTAAGAATGATATAAAACAAATCTATATATATAAAAATGAATGTATGTCAGTGTGTGTGTCTGTGTGTCCATGTTACCATGGTTACCAAGGTTGCCATGGTTACTAAGGTTACTAAGGTTTCATGGTTATTAAGGTTACCATGATCCATAGTTACCATGGTTACCAATGTTACCATGGTTACCAAAGGTACCATGGTTACCAAAGGTACCATGGTTACCATGAGTGTTGTAGCTATTATAATCATAATTATAGGTCTTTAATGGACAACGAAGTGCATGGGATCAGATATTTTATATATATAGTCCGTGTGTGTCCACATTACCATGGCAACCTTTTATATTGTTTTATGTAAAACATATTATTCATATAGAGTTGTCAATTTTAATGGGCAACGTAGTGCTCGGGATCAAATATTTTTATACATATAGACATGTTAGATCTCTGGGCAGAAGATAGGCTAATTTAAAAGGGGAGAGGACCAACACCGGGACGTGCTCAAACAGGGATTTTGAGATTTTTGTTTATATATGGTCACCGCGGGTTTCAAAGCTATAATTATAATAATAATTGGTTTAAAATTGCTGTTATGGTAACCGTTATATTATAAAATAAAACATTTTATTCATATAGAGTTAGTATTTTTAATGGGCAACGAAGTGCACGGGATCAGCGATTTTTTACGAGCAACCAAATTTATTATATTAATCCACAGTATTACATCAAAATAAACTTGGTATAACTTTGATACTATAGAGTTAAATCATACACTTCCGTACAAACAGCACGGGGTCCGCGATCTACCGCAGGTAGATTGCCTACCTGATAATGTACTGCTGCGATTCAGAATTTTTATTCAGGGCAACGGGAAAGATAAGATAAATTTTGAACACCATACACGTTAATGAATTGAACAAAGTTTGAGTAGGTAGTATTGAGTTGATCCATTTAACGGGCGACGAAGTGCACGGGATCAGCTAGTATCATTATAAAAGCAAAACAATTTGCAATTGAAACTAATGAAAAACTTACTAACTTAAAATTGCCTGAACATATTTTAGTGGAAGAAAAACTTCTAGAAGTTCGTCGTTTAAGTATAAAAAAAAAACAATTTGATGATACAACTGAGGATGAAGTATTAACAAAATCGATTGATCTTTACAGGGTAGAAACTTTCTAGACAATTATCGATCAATTAAACATGAGTTTAAATGATAGGTTTTCATCCAATATAGATTTGATTACCGATGCACAGGTATTACATCCATCTAGTTTTGATGAAAATCTTAAAAACTTTCCGAAAAATGGTTTACTAAAGATAGCTAATTTTAGTAAATATTCCTCACAATACATTGGTAGAGGAACTTGTAGCATTTTCTAAAATATATCCATCATTGAATGGAACCCTTTCTCAAAGAGCTGAAGAAATATATGATAATATGCACAATAATGAAAATAATTTAGTTGACGATGATTCAATTGATGAAGAAGATGAAGAAGGTGGCACAGCTCCAAATGCAACTATGGATAATTTAGGTATGTGAAGTTAGCAATATTTAATTTATCACTTAATAATTTTTTATTTGTGTTTACTTTATTCAACAGATGTTGATAATGGGTTAAACTACAAGTTTAATATGCATAAAAAAAGTCGGCTACTGGAAAACAAAGCAAATGTTCTGGTTGTTTAATTTGTTGTTTTAAGCTATTATTTAAATTTAATATGCATTCGGTGGCATTTACTAATTTATACTTGGCGTATGAATTTATTCTCACTTTGTCCTTTACTCAGGTGAACTGTGAGAGAAGCTTCAGTAAGCTAAAAATTATTAAAAGTAGATTACATTCATCAATTGGAAATGAAAAGTTAGAGGCATTTATGTTGATGAGTGTAGAGAAAGAGTTGTTAGAAGAAGTAAATTTTCAAGAAATATTACAATATGTGAAGCAAAGTTCCTCATTAATGTGCAAATTATTAAGTTAATTAAATAAAGGAATAAAAAAAAAAGGTTTGATAATATAAACTAATTCTGTTTTTACCATTTATATAGGTACCTATATTATAGCTTCTGTTTACCAAGGGCTTAGTAAACATGTTGAAGAGCTTTGGTTCTCAAAATCTCCCCTGATTTCTACCAATTGTCAATAATACGTTTATATATAGAGATAAACTAAATTACTTGAATCACTGTTTTTAAAAGTTATACAGACTCGAATTATATATGAGACAGGAGTATTGTTATTAAAAGTTCGTATATTAAAGAACACGTGGGCAGTGGGCTGCTACTTTTTCGAGTATCCCTGGGCCGATCTATCCCCAGTCCACCTCTGATACAAGGTATAAACCTATTTAATTACACAGGTCAAAACATTTTGTTCCACAAGTCATTTCAACTAAACCAATGAAATTGTTGTTTGAAAATAGGTGAAACTGTAAAAGAAAATCTATTAAATATTCCAGAACAGATGTTTATCAGAATATTGAGAACAATTCTAACCAAAATATGGATTTTATTTATGGTATTTTTTAGATAACTATGCTGTTTATTTACTTAAAACAGTTATTTCAACCTAATCTAAATGATATAGTTTGTCTATGATAGCCGATACCATGCAGCTTAATGATGATAATTGAAGGGTAAATTTTCAAAACGTGTTATTTCCAAAATTGTGGAAAATTGAGATATACATTGATTATTATTGTAAAGACCACGAGGAATTCATTTATGGCATTTATTTTTGTATACGACTGTTATAAAACGTACAAAAGTAACATTTAAAAATCAACTTTAATTCAAAACGTTTTATGTCCACTTTTAAATTGTTTTCATAACGTATTATTTCCAATTCAAGCCAAAACGTAATAAATACCATGCTAATAATACGAAAAATATATTTTCTAATGCAAAACGTTATTATTCCATTAATTTTAGAAAAAAATGATATACCTATTTTTAGATCAAAACGTGTTAATTCTTTTATAATAGTATAGGTTGATAAATATTTGTTTTTACAAAACGTATCATTTCCGTAGTGTCGTTTTCTGTAATATTGAAATTAAATTTATAAATACATCGATTAATAGATTAAACTATCAAAGAAACTATATAATTTGATAATCACATCTATTTTTCATAGAAAAAAACCTCAATAATATTGGTTAAGTTTCGATTAAGATAACAACGTTTTATCTTCAATAGTTCGATTGTATATTTTAATAGCGTCTGCTGGAATAAAAGCGCGAGTTCTGAGCTGTGAGCACATGTGTTATAATAATAATGACTTATTTCTTTTTAATTATCATTCATTTTGTATAATTTTGTATAATTTCATAAAATATGTTATGAATTATAACGTTTCAATGATTAAATTATTTTCATTTATTTAAAAAAAAATGAACCGAGCTCGAAAAATGGTAAACGCTGTAGTTGTACAGCCAAGGGTACAGTCAGTACAGAAAGTAAGTACCTACTACATTTTATTACCTACATTATACTCTGTGAATAGTATATTATTTAAAACATTAATATTCATAAACTATTAAATATTATATCTAATGTGATATTTTATTTTATAGAAGTGCGTTGTTAGAAAATTATTATTCAATGATACCCAAAAAAGACAGGTAATATTTTGTACTTTTTTTTTTAATACACTGATAGAGATCATAATATATTTTACTCATAAAATCAAACATTTTATATATTTAGTTTAAACCCAATAATATTTTGGAATATAGGTGATTCAAATTGTTTATTGTTAATAAAGTGAAACTATCATATTATTTTAAATAATATTGTTTCTTTTCACATTATTTTTACTGTTAATAATGATAATTTATATAAAATCATACAATTAATTTTCTAAGACAAAGTTATAGCATGACCAGATAGTGTAATGGGATTACGTAATATCATGTATTTGCTCATAAAAACAACCAGGAATGCGACCACACCCAAAAGTGTTTTCGACTAAGAATACCACTTTTAGTCGTGAGGTCCATATCAAGGACGACTGTACACGCGCCGCTCACTTCAAAGGATGCCGCCACCATATATATAGGGGACAGCGAGACAGCCTGAGTAGATGTATCCAGAGACGAGAACAACACACGACTCGCTTAGCCGCCAAGCCATCACACATAATTACACGGAGCTTATCAATTCTGGAACGAGCTACAATTCGCTACAATCAACACGACTGTTCTGCTTATTTTGTCTGGTTTAATATAATACATTTGATTACTATACTAATTTGACTATTATTATTTATCAAAGTACATCAGCTTTTGGATCCCTGAAGGGCCGCATGTAACAATAGTTCATTACAGACATTAGACATTTTTGAAACTAATCAATCTCCTAAAAATGTAAGTTGAATACTCATGTGCATAACATAAAAAGTGTTTAATGCTGTAATGTTATATTTTTTTCTATAACAGATTAAACTCAATTTAATAATAGGTATAAATATGACAATATAA